TTTTATTTATTTATTTGACAGAGCAAAAGACCACAAGCAGGGGGAGCAGCAGAGGGAGAGGAAGAAGCAGGCCCCCTTCTGAGCAGGGAGCCTGATGCAGGACTTGATCCCAGGACCCTGGGATCATGACCTGAGCCGAAGGCAGATGCTTAACCATCTGAGCCACCCACGCGTCCAATAAATCTTTTTTTTAAAAAAAGTTACAATAGAATGGTACAGTTGCCTTTTTATATTAATTAGGTTAAACAGTACTAAAAACCTTTGGTCAGATATACTCAATACTACTATTTTGGCAAAGTCTTAAGCAGAGGATTCTATGAAGTGGAAGGATTCAAAGCCCCCAGAAATGGTTGTTTTGTACTATCTAAACTCACCAAACATAATATAGTACTGGGATTTTCCATTCAGGTTCTTCTGATCCACATCTGCAGGGAAGACCTTAATGTAGCCCCCTCCACAGTCCATCTTCTGCTCGTGTTTCACTGTGTACTGAATGACCAGAGTCTTCCCTTTATTGCTAAATGGTTTGAATTGTGCAGAGATGGCATAGAATCGGCCATTTTGAGTGGTTTGCAGACCTTTAAACAAAAAAAATACTCATGAAGGATTAGGTACGACACTGTGCTCAGTGCTGCAGGGAATTAAATGGCTGTCCTTCTCCCACCCCCAATAATAACGACTTATGTCAACCCAGAGCCTAAAACACATTTTTACAATAACACACGACAGGCATACCACTAACAGGCTCTCTGCTGCCACAGAACTTTCCACGCTCAGGTGTTTTTGTGCTCAATATACCACTGTCATGTCCTAAGTTACAAAAACACTTCAGCTTTAAATGACAAATATGCAACCTAATTATGGGTAAAAAGTTAATTTTGCTTCGAGTCATCTTCCAAAGAAAGTGTGGGAATATACAATAAAGCTTGTGTAGCAACTTAATTTAAAAACAGAGCATCCTACATCTTTTCTTTAATTCGAATCTTAAAATAGTTGCCTAACACACACCACAATGGATGGAGTACAGAGTGCTGTCCTGTAAAAATGTACTTCACTGCACAGGATGTGCTGGCCCGAACTGTCCTCTTTTTAAAGGTACCACCCTTTTGTCACATGAATCATCTCATATCTTATAAGTTTAGGTGTTCACTTTTAAGACTAAACCCCCCTTTTTCAGTAGCCACAGGCTCTGTACCAAATCCTTATCTTATATTGGAGTATAAGACAAACTTGAAAACAGAGGCAGTCTTACTATAACCTAGTCTTCCTTGCTCCACATTCCTGCCCCCATACCTGCCAATGCTGAGATCCATCATAAATGCACTTGGCATTTTCATTTTCTATCAGTATGTCCAAGCCTGAACTCCTGGCTAACCACTCACTACCACACTCATCTCTCTCTCTCTTCCATTCTCTGCAGCCCCACCCTTCCCTTTCTCAAAGAATTCATAGGCTCACCCCCACTCCTCTACTCCCTTACCAACCAGGCAATTCCTAAGGCCAAGATTCACCACCTCCCTCTCTCTCACCACCCTCCTCAGCCACCCCCATCATCTCTCACCACTTCCCATCTCTGTCCAACTAAATTCTATTTATCTTTCCATCCACCACTTCTGTGTGATGGTCCTGGGAGACCACAATGAAAGGGGCCAAATTAACTGGTATCCCCAGTGCCTCGCCCATGTGTGCTTTCAGTAGATGTGTGCTTTCAGTAGATGTGTGCTTTCAGTAGATGTGTGCTGGGGTGAATGAAACACAGAGTCTCGGGATCCCAGACTAGAAGAAGAAAAAACACTGTGGGGGAAAAACCCAAATGACTCTAAGTGGACACCCCTATCCTTGGACAAGCTTGATGGAACCACCTGTTAATTTCACTCTACTTTTGTCCTATAGGCCGAATATTGACCAACTCATGGAGTCAACATGTAACTTAGAAAACAATGCATATATAGTAGAAAACTGGAAGCTGCCAACAGCTTGGAGTAACAGAGCCAAGAAGGAGGTTGAGCGGAAGGCTGGTGAAGAGGGAAACTTTTCATCTAAATCAGGTGTCTGCAAACCTTTTCTGCAAAGCCAGAGAACAAATATTTTAGACTTTGTGGGCCATATGGTCTCTGTCCCAACTTACTGCCTTTGCAGCATGAAAAAAGCCATAGCTCTATGTAAATGAATGAGCATGGCTGTGTTCCATAAATACTTTACTTATGGACACTGAAATTTCATATATTTCACTGAATTTTATATAATTTTCCTGTAACATAAAATACTATTCCCCTTTTGATTTTCCCCCAACAATTAAAAAATGTAAAAATCATTCTTATCTCACCAGCTGTGCAAACAACCGGTGGTAAACGAGTTGTGGTGTGTTCATCTTTCATCATCAGGAATGAGAAGACAGAAGTCATCCTTGGTACCAGGAGGGTACTGACTTGGGTGGGGAGAGGGCGCAAGGGGGACCTCTGAAAATGTTCCCTATCTTGACCAGGGTGTACAGATGTAAACACTCATCTTTCTGTACCCCTAAGATCTATGCACCTGACAACATGTACCTTTTATCCTCATTTTTTCCTTCTTAAAGTGAAAACAAAAATGAGAAACATCCCTTAACTTTCTTCCCTTTGCAGGTCAAAGATCTGGGGTCTCCAAACTCATGCGACTAGTTGGTATACAATGGGGCAATCTTGGGCAAGTAAAGAAAGGAAAGAAAAAGTAGTGCCAGACCTTATCCAAGCCTTCCTTAGTTTCCCCATCGGTGAAACAGCTTTAAGAGATGTTGGGGTGTGCCACACCTACCTTGCAAGGTTGCTATGGTGGTGGTGGTGGGGGCTGTGGGACACTTAGCTCGATTTCCTCACCATTCCTACACTAACCTTTGTCTTTCTCTTTATGACCATAAAACTTCCCCGACGAGAGTCTAAAATGCCCAAATTGAGAGTCATTGGTGGACTGCACCCATCGGTTCCTCCAGCGCTCTGTGGGGGGAAACAACACGGGTTAGGGCTGAAACTGTTCATTGGAGTCGTGGAAGGTGTGTGGGGGGGCGGGTAGGAGGGGGAGGCTCGAGGCTTCGAAGCGTCGAGGCTTCGCCACCACCGATCCCGCGGCGATGAACCGGGGCAATGGTGACTCGGGCTATTGGCTGGGCAGCTTACGCCCCCACTCCACCACCACGGGCGTCGCCTCTTCACCTCCGTCTAGAAATTCCTCTTGGAAGTAGACCGTGGCTAGCGCCACCTTCAGCATGCAGACCGCCCAAAGCGGAACGTGAGCCACAGCCATGAAAGGCGCGCTGCACTTCTCGTAACCGCCCCTTTGCTCCCAGAGGTCTCCGCGGCGTGCCGGGCCGGCCCAGAACTACAACTCCCGTCACGCCTCGCGATTGTGACCTGAGGCACCATTGGCCCCCAGCGCGCAGTGCACGCCGGGCCCGTCCCGGCACTACCACTCCCATGACGCACCGCGATAGTGACCTGGTGTCCCATTGGTCCCCTGAGCGCGGCGCGCGCCGGGATATGTAGTCTCTTCCGCCCTGGCGCTGTTGCCGGGGGCAACGGTCCCATCTGGCCTGAGTGGCTGGCCGTATCGCGGTGGCGGCCTCTGCGGATGGACATCGTGGGAGGAGGTTGGCGGGGTTGGCTGGGCTGCCGAGGGCTTGGCTGGGCTGCCGAGGGCTTGGCGTCCGGACTCGGGAGAGGAGTTGCGGGGAAAGGGGAGCGTTCTGTGAAGCTGGGCTGGAAGGGCGGCGGGAGGGCGGCCCGGCGCCTCACGCCTGTTTCCCCGTCGGGGCCCACTTGGGAGCGTGGTCGGGAGTGGGTCGCTCCCGGCGGTGGGGAAGAGCCCGATGGTCTGAAGGGAGTCAGTGTTTTCAAAGTTAGCTTTACTTATTTTTAACAACTGGATTGAAGATTTGTTTACGTACCATACAATTCACCCCTGTTAAGTGTACAATTCAGTTACTTTTATTTATAAGTTTACCGAGTGGTGCGGCCATCACCACGATCCGGCTTTAGGACTTCTCCGTCGCCCCAAGGATATCCCTCCTGGCCCTTTGCAGTCCCTCCTCGCTCCCACTCCCAGCCCCAGGCAACCACTGAGGTGCTTTGCGACTGTGCAGATTTGCCTTTTCTGGATGATCCTTATGAATGGGATCATACAGTGTGGGTTTTTTTTTGCATCCGGTTACTTTCCCTTAGCATGATGTGTCCGAGATGCATGCGTGTTGTGTGTATCTGTATTTGTTCTTTTCTTATTGCTGGACAGTATTTCGTTTATGGATGGACGTCAGTTCTCATCCATTCATTAGTTAATGGACTTTTGGGTTGTTTCCACTTCTTGTCTACTACGAATACTATTATGAACGTTTGCATACATTTCAATCTTCTTGGGCTACGTGGGAACTGCCAGACTGTTTTCCAAATTGGCCCCTGTACCATTTCACAGTCCCCAATGACAGTGTATGAGGGCTCCAGTTTTCTCACATCCTCACCCACACTTGTTATCTGTAGTTTTGATTGTAGGCATTCTAGTGGCTGTGAAGTGGGATCTGGTGGTTTCGATTTGCATTTGCCTAGTGGCTAGTGACATTGAACGTCTTTTCATGTGTTTGCTGGCCATTCATATCTTTTTTTTTTTTTCAGTGCAATGTCTGTTCATATCTTTTGTCCATTGGTTTATTTTTAATTGTGTGTTTTAAAAATAGATCAGCTTGTGGTAAAATGGACTTGACACAAAATTTGCCTCTTTAACCATTATTGATTTATTTTTAAACCTAGGGAAACTTGCAGAAGAACTAGATGCCCAAAAACCTGGCCTGGTGGTCGGGCTTTCCCTCTGACCCACAGAATGGCCGGGGCCGAGTCCTCTCCTGAGCTTCAGTTACAAAAAAATAAAGCTGTTGATGTGCCAGTGTGCTCCACTTCCTCTTTACCACGTCCTTCCAGCTAAAGGCCAGTTAAAAGTACGTATTCCAAACATTACTATCTAAATCTTACTATTTATTCCTGCCCTACAATGACCATAGGAATCCTGTGAGGGTCATAGTTATTACCACCTTTTTAGGATGAGCAAGCTGAAGCACAGAGTGGTTAAGTAACTTGCCCAGTGTCACACAGGCTAGGAATTCTGCACTGTTTCTGCTGGGGGTGGTTTTGTATTCACTGACCCCTATGGTCAGGCCTGTGCTAGGTAGGTTAGTTAGTACTGTTAGTACCCAGCTCAGGCCTTAGTGCCCCGGTGGTTAAGATGGGGACAAGCAGGCCAGCACACCAGGCAGAGAAACAGAGAGTAAAAGAAAAATAATTCACTCTTATACAGAATCTTAGGGCTGGGTTAAATACTTTTCCTTGCACAAAACATTTGAGTTCAGGTTTGGAAGGCGCAGAAGACATAGGCTTGCCAGATTTAACAAATAAAAATACGGGACACCCAGTTGAATTTGAACTCCAGATAACCAATAAATAAATTTTTAGTCTGAAGGTGCTTGGAACATACTACTTTCTAGTATAAAAATAATCTGGGTCGGGGTGCCTGGGTGGCTCGGTCAGTTAAGCATCTGACTCTTGATCTCGGCTCATGTCTTGGTCTCAGAGTTGTGAGTGCAGGCCTGTGTTGGGCTCCGTGCTGGGTGTGGAGCCTACTTAAAAAAAAAATTAGGGTTATACTCATATTTTAAAAATTATTTACTATTTATCGTAAATTCAAATCACTGGGTGTCCTGTATTTAATCTGGCAATCCCAGTGAGCTCGTTTTCCAAGTGGACAGGGATGGGAAAAAAGGCTTTTTTAGGTCTCACAGTGAGTTAAAAAAAAATAATAGTAACGCATGGCCTTGCTAAAACATTCAAACAATATGGGAACAAGCAATGGTTGAGCATCTTGTCTTTTCTGCCTCACATAGTATTATGCTGGCCACGTTATTATGCACAGATCTCCCTCATTCCTTTTAACGGCTGCATCGTATTCCCTCATCTGCATGCGCTCTTCTGGATCGCACCAGGTCTCTATGGATGGGTTCAGGTTTTTGACGAGTACAAACAATACTGCTGTGACATTCCTTGAACACGCATCTCTGTGTGCGTTTCTGGGTGTAACTGTAGGTAAATTCCCAGACGTGGAATTGCCAGGTCACGGGGTCTCTGCCCAATGCGGGACTCGATCCCAGGGCTCTGGGATCATGACCTGAGCCGAAGGCAGCTGCTTAACGACTGAGCCACCTAGGCGCCCTTAACGTCAGGTATTCTTACTCTACGTTTTCCTTTCTTTACTCCCTAGAATGGCTTCCATAAGAAGAACCGGCCATCCCGTGCGCAATATTTTTGGTGATTTTAGTGATATTTCCTTAGAAGACTCAAAAATAGAAGAAATCAGAAACTTGAAAATCAGTAGAAGTCTTACCAAAATAGCACCCGCTCATAGCAGATTTCTAAAAGGAAACCAAACCATGGGTGTAGAACACTCACTTCTGAAAGAGAAGGCTGTTGTGGAGGGTGGGCACAAGCTCTCCTCAGGGAGACCCCCGACCATTGCCTCGAAGCTCAGGGCCAGCGCCGCGCTCACAAAGCTGGCTCAGATAGAAACCAAGATCATGAATCGGAAGGCAAAGATGGATTTGTCTGACATGGAATCTGACCTGAAGACCTCTGAGGACAGTCTTCCAAAGAGCACAGACACAGTCCTCCCCAGGAGTACAGTCAAACTTCCTTCACACAGCCTGGATAAAACCTCCCAGAAACAAGCCCGTGAAGTCTCCATGACCAAGAGCAACACACGGAATGGGAAGGTCAGTAGGTTTCTAAAGAGGAGAGAACCACCCGTTGAAAATACCTTCCCTGAAGCACATTTTGGAAAAGAGAGGAATTTTCAAACACCCAAAGAGAGAAAACCTACTAGAAAACTAGATTGTCCAGACAGCGATGAGGAGGAAATGAAAGAGTTGCTGGGAAGCTTGCTAGAATCTTCTAGAGAAAAAGAAACACACACGAATCAGTGTTTCGGCAGCCCCAAAGTCAGTGAGAAGGAACAGACAAAACTGTTCTCGGTAAGGTTTGCGTGTACTTCTTATTTATTTATTTATTTATTTAGATTTATTTATTTATTTGAGGGGGGAGGGGCAGAGGCAGAGGGAGGGAAAATCTTCAAGCAGACTCCCTTCTGAGTGCAGAGCCCGACGCAGGGCTGGATCCCACGACCCTGAGATCATGACTTGAGCTGAAATCAAGAGTTGAACGCTCAACCGACTGAGCCACTTATTCTTTTTTTTTTTTTAAGATTTTATTTATTTATTTATTTTTTAAAGATTTTATTTATTTGACAGAGAGAGACAGCGAGAGAGGGAACACAAGCAGTGGGAGTGGGAGAGGGAGAAGCAGGCCTCCCGCCGAGCAGGGAGCCCGATGCGGGGCTCGATCCCAGGACCTGGGATCATGACCTGAGCTGAAGGCAGCCGCTTAACGACTGAGCCACCCAGGCGCCCCATGATTTTATTTATTTTAGAGAGAGAGAGAGATCACAAGCAGGTGGAGGGGCAAAGGGAGAGGGAGAGAGAGAGAATCTTAAGCAGGCTCCATGCCCAACGTGGAGCCCGATGTGGGGCTCGATCTCAGGAAGCTGAGATCATGACCTGAGCCGAAATCAAGAGTTGGACGCTTAGCGACTGAGCCACCCAGGTGCCCCACATATACTTATTCTTACCAAAGCCTTGCGTCTGCTCTTCAGGTCACGGCGCTAGAGACTTGACAGCAGCCGTCTCCCGCGGGCTACTAAGGAAGGGGTTTGACAAGGAACGGTTGGGCTCCAGCCAGTCTCAGCTGCCTGTTTTGGGGCCTGCTCTGTGGGTGACAGGATTTGGGATGCATTAGGCAGTTTATAACACCTGGAGGAAGTGTGTGCACCTCGGGTCAGCGCTTGGTGTGACTGCTCGCCAGTGCCGATCCATACGTGCTCGTCAGGGGCCCCACATGGGAAAAGTGGTGGAGCTGCGCTTGCATTTTTTTTCAATTGAGATGAAATTCACATAACCGAAAAGTAACATTTGTAAGATGAACAATTCAGCACCATTTAGTCCATTCGTGATGTGCAACCACCACCTCTGTCTGGTTCCAGAACATTTTTGTCAGCCCCAAAGGTGACCCTGTACCTGTTAAATAATCACTCCTCGTTTTCCCCTCCCCCAGCCCCTGGCAACTTCTAATCGGCTTTCTGTCTCTGTGGATTTGCCTGGTGGGGATGTTTCATATACATGGAATCATCCAGTATGTGACCTTCTGTGGGACTGGCTGCTTTTACTCAGCGTAATGTTTTTGAGTTTCATCCACATTGTAGCATGTGTCAGAGCTTAATTCCTTTTTACGGCTGAGTGAGACTCAGTTGTGTGAATATACTACATCTTATCTCTCCACCATCCATTGTCGGGCATATTGGGTCTTTTCCACCTTTTGGCTATTTGTGAATAGTGCTATTATGAACATTTGTGTACACATACCTGTTTGAGTCCCTGTTTTCAGTTCTTTTGGGTCTGTCCCTACGAGCGGAATGACTGGGCCCTCTAGTAATTCTATGTGTAACGTACGGAAGCAATGCCAAGCTATGTTCCACAGCAGCTGGGCCATTTGCA